GATCGGCCGCCCCCGTGGTGCACCTACCGTTACGTTACCGTTAACCACCATGTTGGCCTTCTTATGGGTGCACCGCAATAATCTAATTTGGATCGCAGCCCGCAGGGTGGCATCCTGTTGTGAGCGCCTGATGATCTAGATTTGATGAGACGACCGGGTTTGCCTCTCTGTTGGTATGGAAAAATAGAAAAAAGAGACGAGAATGGAAAAAACATGAGCAGGGTTGGTCCAAGTGAGGATAGGACCGGTCTCGGCCAGTATGGGGGGATCCGGCTTCCCTGGTGCACATGTGAGAGAATGAAGCCATGTGGAGGACGGCTCCAAAATCGGGGGTTCCGGACTCCACTGAACTGAATTTCCACCTAATTTCCACGTGATATGATTACATGAAGGTGATAATACTTGTGATTGCTGTTGTATTGCCATTTGTGTGACAAACTGCATGATTATATAATTAAACGGTGATCAGATAAAAATATTTTAGCATCTATGTGATTGTGTGGATTGAGAGGGTTATCTAACCCTACTCATTGAGTTTGGCACTCACCCCTGCCTGCTATTTTTTTTCCAGGTAATAGAAAGAAAGGAAAGCCCTATGGAGTTAAAACACGTATTATAAAAGACTATTAATGATAGAAATAACGATGTGAATGTAAAGGTAGAGTTCCGCAATTATATTCCAGTTGGGTTGTAAATAAATAATAGAAGTCCTTATTAAATATATGAACTGTATTTTGGGTGCATATGTATAATAAGTTAATGGGCTTGAATCCATAATTATGAATAGAATGGGAGATTTAAATAAGATAGGCTTACTACGGGCTTCGGGGGCCTTAAGCCCACTCAGGTCCTAGTGCCGGTCCGACCCACGGAAATGGGTCGTGACAAAAACAAACCGAATAATTTGTTCTATCAAGTCATATGCATAAAAATATCCAATTATTTTCTCCGAGAGGGTTATCTAACCCTACTCATTGAGTTTGGCGCTCACCCCTGCCTACTATTTTTTTCCAGGTAATAGAAAGAAAGGAAAGCCCTATGGAATTGAAATACTTATTATAGAAGACCGTTAATGATAGAAATAATGATGTGAATATAAAGGTAGAGTTCCGCAATTGTATTCCAACTGGGTTGTAAATGATTAAATAGAGTATAGACATTTATTATGTGGACTATATTTTGGATATATTTGTGAAATAGATTATTAGGCCTGAATCCATAATTATGAATAGAATGTAAGATTTAAATAAGTTAGGCTTACTACGGGCTTTGGGGGCCTTAAGCCTACCCAGGTCCTAGTGCCGGTTCGGCCCACGGAAATGGGTCGTGACACTACAAAATGGACTGGGTTGAGTAAGTGATATTTTTATTCTTCTTTGAGGCTTGATAAATTTTCTTTTACATGATTATATATTTATATTTCTAACAAGGTTGATAATAGCGGTGACATTTTGTGATCAACGAGCAACTGCCACAACGGTGGTGACTTTTTGGATCAATCTGTGTAAAAATGACAAGAAATAATCTTGAGCTTACACCATGGCTGTGTAGATTTTTCTTTACTTGCCATATATATTTCTCTCAAATGGATCAACTTTGAAATTTAATTTATCATAGCAGAGATGACAGTACTATTACCAGACCTGTTCATATTTATTTTCTCAGTTTTAGAGGAGGCTATAGGTCCTCCCATCTTCTCAAACTGGTAAATTTTTTATCTTTCTTTATTGAGTTTTTTTTTTCTCTTTTAATTTAAGAAAATTTTTATATTGTTCTTTTGTAGCCTTTTTCAGGGATCTTGTTTTGTTTTTGGATAGGAGAATTTTCCCTGTTGTTTTTGGATATGAAAGCTATTATTCCAAAATATCTAAATAGATATTTTACGAATGAAAGTCAAAAATTCTAAAAATTATTGATATTGATGTCGCAAAGTGTGTAATTTTACTAAAATTTACAAGTTCAAATGCACTATAGATCATCCGCAAAGTTCAAGATGTTACAAGGTTAAAATTAAAGTTCAAAGGTGAATTTATATATTCAGCCCATCATAGTTTATGTTGTTTCAGACACTGTATATTTGGCCATGCAACTTTTCTATATTGTCAAATGTATTGCGTTTCTACTGGATCCACATGAATTGATCCTTTCACCTGAATTCATGGGCCTATATTCTTCAACAATTTAACCTCTTCTTAATGGAGTTGATTTGAAGTGAATAAATCTGAGTTGGAATTTTAGTATGTTAATGGACTATTTTTACCCTTTTTTACTTCCACAAAATCATCTAATATATCTGAACTTTTCGATTTGTATTAATTGTACTCTAAAATAATCTCAACGAGTGACTTTTTTTTTTTTTTTTGTTAAAATTACACCCTATCTTCAATCTGATGAATATTAGAAATAAAAAAATAAATTTCATGGGCCCCACACCTGTAGCTTGAGTTAGCTAACCCAAAGAATTGGATTAGCAAAAACGTACTGTTTCACTTTGGCTTCTGTCTTCGTTTTCTTCTTTGTCGATCTCCCTTCTCATTTTCTCTCTATCATGAATCTCAGTGAGGCTTCTATTCTATTCAACAAGGAGATAGAAAGGAAATCGGTTTCTTTCACTGCGCTAATTAATGGTTACTTGTAAATGAGTTGTTACAGCAAGGTTTGGAGCTTTTCAAAGAGATGCAAATTGCCAAAGTTGAGATGGACAAAATCACCATAATAACTTTACTCTCTGCTTGTGTCAGGTTGGGGGTTTGGATCAAGGCTGTTGGCTCCACTCTTTCTCTATCATCAACCTATTCACATATATTTTTTAATGGCTTATATGCTCTAATTAATTTCAAAATAAAAAAAAAAAATGAGAAAGATCCATGGTGATAGAGAGAGAAAATGGAAGTCTGCACGTTGAGGATGATCAATGCAAAAATGAGAGAAGATGAGCAAAAGAGATGAAACGCACCGTTTTTCCTTAACCAACTCCTTGGGTTAGCTAACTCAAGCTACAGGTGTGGGGCCCATGAATTTTTTTTTTTTTTGTTTAATTTTGATCAGATTAAAGGCAGGGTGTAATTTTAACAAAAAGGTCATTCTGGTACGGAGGGTTAAGGTTATTTTAAAATATAATTGATGTAAATCGAAAAATTTATGGTATATTAGATGGTTTTGCCCTTTACTTCACTAGGATCATTGCTACAATTCTGCCACTAAGTTTACAATTTAGACACCAGCGCCAAGATCTCAAATGAGGATATGAAAACTAAGAATTCACAAAATAAAAAACCGCTTTGGGCAAGCTATGTATGACAAAAAAAAAATTTTAGTTTGCCATCTTTATTCTTTTACGAAGTTGAGGAAAAAATGTATTTACGTTTGAAATCAACAGAATTAGGCAATTATGGGTAGAATTTTTAGCGCCATAAATAATCATTCTTCTCTTTAGATTATTTTATTGGGTTGTTATTTAGAGCTGGCTTATGGTATATTAGTCCACTTAGAAGAGCAGGAATTGAAACTAGGGATGAGCAACTTTGGAAAAAATAAAAACTGAACCGAACCAAGTTATTTTTATTTTTGGTTCGATTTTCGATTTCGGCTTTGGTTTGAAATCTTCCATAATTTCAGTTTTCGGTTTTTGGATCGGTTGCTCCAAAACATTTATTTTCTGAGTAAAACCGAACTATTTGATTGAACCGATGCCTACCGTATTGAACCAACTAGTTTGGTTCGATTTGCGAATTTATTTTGATATTAAACAAAATATATTTTCGGTTTTCGATTTTTAATGGTTTAGAACTGAACCACCCGTTTGCACTCTCCTAGTTGAAACTATTTATTAGGCTTAATTAAGGATAGAAGTGGGGCAGGAACCCGTGAAATTTAAGCTACCCGTACTCATATTCATTTAAAATTTTACTATCCATATCCGTTTCAAACCCATTTAAATATCCATTTAACTCCGTATCCAAATCAGTTTCAAATTTTACTATCTGTATCCATCTAAAATCTATTTAAAGTACCATTATACGGATATGATACCCACGAATCTTAACTATCTAAATCCGAACTTATTTAAAATATAAAACTTTCACTAATAATTGATATGATATCCATGAGTACCCAATAGTGAGTAACGGGTAGCAAGTATTCAAAGGCTTATACTCGTACCCTATTCATACCTATTACGGGTAGTAAGTTTATTATCTGTACTCATCTGTATCTTATAGCCCGGTGCGGCGGGTCGCCTTTTGAATTCCGGGGGAACAAATAGGCGTGGGGAAGAGGAAGAGGGGGGGCTACGAGCCCTCTCCCGTTGCTGTTCCCGAACCACCCATTCCTTCCCCGGCCCGGTGAGGTCCGATGAGATCAGATCTTTGGGCCTGTGAAAAAGCTTTCCATCCGTCCAGTCCTTCTCTCTTCCTCTGCTTCGTAGATTGACTTATCCTAAACCCACTTATAACTACTCATGTCCTCTTTAAATGGATCGGAGCGAAACGGGTACCCTAAAATACTCACACTGCTTCCATCCCTAGGCTTAATTTTTTTCTAAGGGACTTTTTAAATGTTCTTTATCTTTCAGATGGTACTTCAGTCATTAACAATAGTAAAAAATTAAAATTGATTTTTAAATTTAACGCTTCGATGCCTCTGTTTGAATGAAATGACCAAAGTGGTAATAAAATCATAATTTATTGACTTAATAGTTAGTTTTTGAAGACATAAATTCTTATATATTAGTTTGACTAATTTACCAATCAACTTATTTTCCCTTAATAATAAGATTTAATTATTATTATTTATTATTTATATCATTAAACCTACTTCCAATTGCATTTAATTATGAGGTTATAAATTAAAAAATTTTTTTAAAAATAATATAATTAATAATAATTATTCAAACAACTAGTTTAATAATAATTCCGCGGCACAGCGGAGGTGATATTGCATGTTGTATCTAAGATTGACCTCGCCAAACAGAACTTTGATGCTAAGATGATGATAAAAGATTTAAAAAAAAAAAAGAGAGAGAAAGAAAGAAAGAAAAAGAAAAAAGAAATAACAAACCAAGCCCAGGGAGCGGCTATAGCCCAAAAACACCAAGATGCTTCAGCAGCTGAAGCTTCCGTCCCGCCTCTCAAAGTCTCTGCCTCTTTGTTCATTGTCATCTACCCTTGAAGATATTGCCTCTTCTCACCCAACTAAAGGTCAGCATTATTTGTCTTCCTTTCTTATATTCAATTTTAACGTGTCCTTCAGATTTCTGGTATTGGGTTTCGTTCTGAAATATTAATAATAATTTAACTGAGCATTTGGTTTTATCAATTAAAAAACAAGTTCTAAATTTGGTTTTTATGAGTATAGGCATTGCAAAGGTTGTACTGAAAAAAGGGAAGACACAACTTTTTAAGGATGGAAGCCCAATGGTGTACAGTGGAGCAATCGATAGAATAATAGGTAGGCCTCCACCTAAGACTGGAGATGTTGTGCTTGTTGCTGATGGCACAGAGAAACCTATTGCTTGGGGCTTGTATAATTCTGTCTCCATGTTCAGTGTTAGGCTTATGCAATTAGAAGAGGAAGCGATGGAGTATGTACTTATTTACAAGACTTTTCAAATTTTGTTTACCTTTATAAGGCGCAATTAACTTCATTCATGTGGTGCAGAGATCCTTCTTGCGCATTGAACATGGAGAAATTACTTGAAACAAGAATTAACGCAGCCATTCAGTTACGCAGGAGGTTGAGTCTTCCTTCAGCCCAGACAAATGCATATCGCCTTCTCAATAGTGAAGGAGATAGGTATCTGAGCTTGACTATTCCATTGATGCAATTAAACTAGTCTTTATTCACTAAAACATCTTCCACATCCATTTGCGTCCAACATCTGAGAATTACTTGTATGTTTTCAATCAAATGTTATTTGTTAACTGATGTTGTATATGTGTATGTATGCATCAATACTGACATATATATTTAAGTTCATTACAACGCTGATCTCTCAATAGATGTATAACGTTCTCATTTCAGCTTTTGTAGGTGTCTGTTAATCACATTGAACTGTTTCAAATGTTGGGTTAGAAGCAAATTGTAGATTATTGGTTGTTGAATCTTATTTCAATTCTTTTGGAATGTTGGATGTTGGATTCTTGATTTATGTCACGATGCATTTTAAAGTTTCTGGTTCATCACATAAAACAGTGTGGTTTAAGCATCTAATTTTAGCTACTTTGATTCTTTTCTTTGTCCAAAACTACCCATGTTGCATAAAGGTACTCTGAAATGGATGTGATTTGTACTTATAGCTGATAACTTTTCACACTGATGTCGAGGTAACGTAGGTTATACTAAATATCACAGCAGAAGGTAAAAAAAGGAGGAAAAAGGCAAATTACATTTTGCGGAAGTATGGTTTGATTGTGTTATTATGTACTAGGACCCTATCCCTGATTTTCATTAAATATTCTATTTTTATACTTTTATTATCTTTGTGGTCAATAGCACACTTATCTGCAAATTGCATACCACTCCATTACTGCAGACTGTCTGGATTAATTGTTGACGTCTTTGGAGATTTAGCTGTAATAGCATCATCCGCTGCATGGGTTGAGAAGTATAAACCAGAAGTAGAGGCTTGCATTGGTAGAATTGATGAAATTAATCATGTAATCTGGAGACCATCAGCTGAAATTTTAAAAGAAGAAGGAATGGATGTGTTGGATCTGAAAGAAATGCATTCATCCATTTGTCAAGAAAGGACAAAGGTAGAACACGCCTTTGAATGATTATAATTCATCTCTATCAGTTTTGTCATTCATGCTCCCTTTATTGGTGCTTCAAACTTCAAAAATTTGTGAGCCTTAGCTTGAATTTTAATGTTTGGCCAATTAGTTTGATAAAAATGATGCTTCTCATCATTCTCTTGGGTGCCAATGCCTTTCTTTCTTTCTTTCTTTCTCAACCCCATTAATACTGCTACTGGTCTACTAAAGTTACAGGCACACACCTCCAAGGTAGCCACAGTTATATTGCATGGAAGTCTGATATAGTATGTCAACAAGAGGGGAAGCAACTATTTCATCCATGATGTCTGTTGCTGTATCTCCATTTATATAGATAATGTTTTACTCTGTCATTGCTGCTCCCCTCCTATGTGCAGGTTTAAGAATTTCAAGTAAGCAATGTATTTTAACTGGAATGATGAATATACCATTTTGATTTTGTGTAGTTATTGTGTATTGGCTTCTAACTTATATTTGGCCAGATTAATGGCTATAATTTGTGCCTCAATGATAATGACTTTTTGCCTCATGTCTAGCCAAGGTCATGGCATCATGTGATCTGTAGATATTTATTTGTATGCATGTATGAAAAAGTACCTATTATGTGCACAATCTAAGTTAGGCATTCCTTCTTGCGCAACCTGCTTCTGATTCTATTGAAATCTGTTAACTATATAAGCGTTGTTGACGCCAACCCACTTTCATGCTGCAGGTTGTAGAAAATGGGATCTATTATGCAATTTCAGTTGCAGGGCAAAAGACTGGATTTTATGCTGATCAACGCGAAAGCCGACAATTTATATCAAACATTTCAGCTGGTCAGAAAGTTCTTGATATTTGTTGCTACAGTGGTGGTTTTGCTCTAAATGCAATCCGTGGAGGTGCCTTAGATGTTATAGGTACAGATTTATACCACAAATTTTAACCTTCTATCTACTTTCATTTAGTATTAGCAAAATGCCACTTTTTAGGATTGCAGGGTCAATACTATTTTAACTTGATTTTGCCAAATTATACATCAAATTGGCTGCCTTGACTCCTCTCTCTCTCTCTCTCTCTCTCTCTCTCTCTCATAGTGATATTTTATGAAGGCCTTGAAGTGAAGGCACATTGAGTGAGTCTCTAGATTTTCTAGACACATGGAATGTTTTCCCCTTTTATTTCTCTTAAGAGAAAAGTAGTCTTCAAATGGATCAATCTTAGCTCAAAGTGAAAACAAAAAAGGCTTTTAATCTTAAATTTATATAATTGGTTCCTTGGGTTGCTCACGTAGGTTAATAATTCCTTTTTGGGATTGAATTTAAGAGTAATGGATGGCAAACAACAGAAAGAGTAGATACAGAGCTAGTAGGAAAAGAAATAACAGCTGAAAATAGCTAATGATGAGCAAAATGATTATTGCAGAATCTGTGCTAGTAGGCCTGCAACTGACAGCAAATGGGAAACACTTGAAAGGACAATAAAATGCAAGAAATTCAATAAAAATAAATTTAAATATGGAGATTAACACAGAAGGAATATAAATAGAAAAGAAAAGGTGGAACTTCCACAAAATCAATTCAACCACTTAAATATAAAGCAAGATTTGGAAGTAACAATAACAGTAAATGCAAAAAAATTAAAGGTAACACAAGGATTGCAAGGAAAAATAAAAAAGTAGATTGCGTATAAGAGGTATCATTGTGATGGTGTAGGACCTCTTAAAAGAGTACTTACAGCATTTGTTTTACTTGGTGCCCATGTTTAGGTAATGAGGTGGCTTCCCTATTCTTCCCCACCTCAAGTTGGGTCCTAACTCTGTCGGCAAACCAAATACTGAAATTTTATATTTCTAAGTCACTTTTCTGTAAAAATTCCAGCAACCAAATGCCTTGGCTACTGGCATCATATAGGAAAGTGACTCATGAATGTAAAATTTTGGTGTTTGGTTGGCATATGAATATTACATTTCTGAAAATGTTAGATTTTTATATTCATGAATCTCACTTTTTCTCTCCCATATATATGGAAAGGTACTTTCCCATCTAAAAAGATGGAAGAACATTACATTCCTATGGGAATATAAAATTAAAAGAAAATTTAAAGGACATTAATATCCTTAATCATAAAAATGTCTTTTTGGTTGATTTTGATAAGATTTTCCTTTTGGACTTCCGTGATCTTTTTTGTCAGCTCATATATTTTGAATTTAATTATTTTTTGAATAATATTTATATTTCATATTAGTTGGTTATTAGCAAAGATTTTATTCAATTAGTGTTTATATCTTTATATGGTAAAGTTTTAGAGCATTAGGTAAATTAAATTATAAAATTTAAGGGTAATGATGGTAGTAACCTGTTATGTATTTCCCCATGGCTAACCAAAAACAATTATCTCACATTTCTCGGAAATTTTTCTATAATCGAACGTGATAATCCAATATTCCTTGAATTACTTCCCTAGGAATCTACTTTTCCAGGAAAGTGATTGCCAATTGTAATATTGAACTCCGAAAACCAAACACCCTTAAAGGTAGCATGTATTACATAATCTGCCACTATCAATATCTTGAAACTTAGGTTTCAACCATGTCGATAAGCTATTTTCACATGGTAATTGGGCTAGTGGTGAGCTTCAAAGTAAAATTGCATGAATCATGAATTTTAAGATTTGTTAACACACCTGGGGATGAAACTAAGTTTTTTTCCTATGTTTTACGGTGTTTACAATCCGAACATCCTTATTAGCCACTTACTACTATTGATCCTAGCATTAGGCATCAATTACAATACAATTAAATGGATTTGAGGTCTGCTAGCTTTTGCTTTGTGTATTTACAGTTTGACTGGTTCTGAAACGTGTTAGCTTGTGTCATAGGGATGAAACTTGCTGTCAATTTGGGCTTGTGCATCAGCATTGTCTAGAAGTTGATCCTATCATCAACTTTGATGCACTTCATACATATTAATGTATTCAACTTCAAGAATGGATTTGTGCATATGCTAAATTTCAGCTTTTAGATCACATTCACAGGCTGCTTCACATAAGTTGCTTGGACATTACTCTGTTTGACTGTTGCATAAGTAACTTGTTAATTCAAGAATCATGACTATAGAAGAAAGCTTATTGGATCTCTGATAGGAATTATGCTTCTTTTACTGAATTTCTCTGTCTGTCCCTTTCATTCTTGTCCATTACCAACATAACATGCACACAGGAAGATAGGTGGGAGGCTGAAGGTGTTCATAGCTCTAAACTGTCTAAATTCATTTATGGTGCTCTATCCCTACAAATCTCCCACAAAACTTTGTTTTGGTTCTTCCTAGCCACCCTGGTCTCCCTTTCCTCACCAAAATATTCCATTTGCATTCCCCTTCAAATTCATTCTTGCTCTGTCATTGCATGTACCTCTGATATGCTGTAATACTGAAAATAAAGCTAGCTGCCATTTTAAATTATTAATTTGGAAGCTACTTTAGAAAATAAAAAGGGATGTATCTTAAAGGCTAAGTTGTCTGATAACTTTTTACATTGTTTCAGGGATCGATACATCGTTGCCTGCTCTAGAGCTTGCTAGAGAAAATATTATTCTTAACCATCTGGACCCAAAAAGAATATCATTTTTGAGAGAAGATGCAACTGAATTTATGAAAGGTGCCCTTTCCAGAAATGAATCATGGGATGTAGTTATTCTGGATCCTCCTAAACTGGCACCAAGAAAAAAGGTACAGCAACATGCATCTAAATCTTATTTGACAGAATTTCTAACAGATACAAATATTGAAATTGGTTTTAGTTGGGAACTTGTCACATTTTCTTGTTTGTTAGCTTGATAAAATGGAAACATAGTTCTCATGTTATAGTTAACTAACTAAACTGTCCACTTTGAATGAATTTTCTAGCAGTTGACAAATTTAGGCCATTGTGCTAGTTGGATGAGCATCCGATTATAGTTTAGTTTTAGAACGATATTATCTTAATTATTTTATAACATGATTACTACCTTGTTTCATACAACCTTAATTTCTTCAAAGATGCAATCTCTTTTTTGTTGTACCATTCTGCTGATCTCAGTGTAGCAGTTAATTTGTTTTGGTGATAAAAAAAAAATGTAAATCTGTAATCATGTAATATGATGTTTTCATTCACTAAATGCATATATTTGCTCACTATATGAGGAACTGCTGTACTTATGATGGCACAGTCATTAGTGACTTCTCACTGTATTTGTTAAAACTTGCTACTTCAACATTGGTGACTTGAGTGGATTCTTTTCCTTATTATCCTATTCCTATCATATTGGTGTATTACGGTATTTTGGGAAATGTTGTGAACGATAATTTCATATACCTTAAATTACAAGTGACATATTAGGTTTCATAGGCTTAGACATTCATATTTTCATGTTTTTATGCGTAGATTTCTGTTATTACAGCAATTTATTCCTCTGGACAAAACCATTGCCTTGTGTGCTCTTCTGCCCATTTCAAACAATCGTCAATATTTCCTAATTTTATGGTTCTCACTGATCAGGTTCTACAAAGTGCATTGGGCATGTACAGAAATCTTAACTCACTGGCAATGAGATTGACGAAGAAAGGTGGTCTTCTCATGACGTGTTCATGTTCAGGAGCCATGACCCAAAGTGGAATGTTCCTGCGTATTCTCCAGGCAAGTAGTCTGATACAGCAAAATAACCAGATTAAAACAGATGATAAAGAGAACAAAAAAATCAACCAAAATAGGCTCAAAGTTCTGGTTAAACAACTAGGAAAAGCAAATAACTAGAGTTGGTTTTTATATTACTAAAACATCTGAATCTACTATAAAACTAAAAAAATACAACCCAGCTTATAAGCATATCTCACTAAAATAAGGTCTTAAATATATCCTAATAAATATAAAACCTTAAACATCAATCCTATTAGAGTAGTCTCCTTTTTTTTTTTTTTTTTTTCCACCAGAATTTAAAACCAGCCAGTGATAAATTGAGGCGAACAAACAAAAATCCAACCAAAAATCAGCGCTCTCTGGGTAAACAACTAGAAAAAGCAGAATAACTAGAGTTGGTTTTTATATTACTAAAACATCCGAATTCTACTATAAAACTAAAAAAGTATACAAACCCAGCTTATCAAGCATTATTCTCACCTAAAATAAAGGTCTTAACAATATACTCTAATAAATATAAAAACCCTAAACATTCAATCCTATTCACGAGTATCTCTTTTTCCTTTCTCTTTTTTTTGAGATGATACTTATTTTTGAGAAACACCTTACATAGTTAACCCTAAAAAAATGTCATGACTATTCGAATAACATCAAAATTAATTAAAAATATAAATAATCTGAATTTGAAATTTTTTTTTTTTTTTTTTTTGAGATGATACTAGAAGAAAACCTTACATAGTAAACCCTAAAAAAATGTCATGACTATTCGAATAAAGTCAAAATTAATTAAAATATAAAATAATCTGAATTTGAAAATCGCTATAGTGGAGTAAATAATTATCTCCTGCAATGTCGTGAAGAGTTACTTTTGAAAGTTGTGGAATTCTGAGCTTTTGCTCCTAGATCGAAGTCCTGTCTAACTATCCTGCAAAATGATTATGAATGTTTTGTACAAATCTCCGTAACTCTTGAAATAATGAGTTGGAAATTAAAATGGTGATATTTTTTGAGATTGTCATAGACGACTTTTTAGTGTCTAATGGCTGAAGTTTAGAATAAGGGTTGCATTTCCCTCTTAAACCTGGTCAATCACTTTATATCATATTTTCTTACATATTTTTTGGAATAAATCTATTTCATTTCATTTGCAAATGAATTTCATTAAAAAAATAAATTCATTTATAAATCGATTTTCGTATTTGTTTTAAATGTGTAGTTTTTACTAGTTTGTATTTAAAATTTATTAGTTTTAATAACTTGTACTTCTTTTTAAGTTTAGAGTTCATTCGCAAATTTTATCAATTTTGATATAACTCAGTTAGAGCGTAACTAATTTCGTAGAATTAAAAATATAGAATCCCTAATGAATAAATTCATTTATACTGAATATGAAATTGTGATTTGTAAATGAATTGAATAAAATTTTATCGAATGCATTCTCTGTTGTCCCATTTTTACCATAATCAGGGTGCTGCATCAATGGCGGGAAGGAAAATCACAGTCGTACGGCAGGCCGGTGCAGCTTCTGACCATCCTATTGACCCATCCTATCTAGAAGGTGCATACCTTACTAATATCTTGCTTAGAGTGTTATAAATGTGTCATGTAAAATGTATATTCTCTAACAAGAAACCAATTTTGTACTAACATTAGTTGAATCTCACACATTGACATTCTACTAGTGAAAATTTATCAATGTCTTACATAGGAGTTTGATAAATTCATTTCAAACTGAATAAAATGAAATATTTTTTAAGATGAAAATCGAACTGAACTATATCAGTTTAGTTCGGTTCGCTCGGGTTTGGGTTTAATGAAAGCGGAACCAACTCAAAAAAAGTATTGATTTTTCTATTAAAACTGAAACCAAACCGAGTATATATGTTGAAAACTCTAATGCACAGAATTACATAAGACAATCGATACTCCGGATTCCTGAAGCCTTTTTTAGTGTGCTGCTGCAGTTCTATTCCCTTACCCCTATATGATTGATTGTCTAAGAAACCTTTTTTAGTGTCCTGTCCTAATAGATGGATTCACTTGATCTAATTAATTAGTCCATCAATTATAAGTTAAATCAAAATTATAAAATTATGATGATTCAATTTCAATAATGTTAGAACTGTAAGTTCATGGAAATTATAAGAATAAATTGTAAGAATTAAAATTGATATAATTTTTTTAAATAATTGAGTAATCATTCCAATTTATAACACATGGCATAGATAATTTTGTACTATTTAATATTTCTATCATCCAATTACATATATGGAATTACTGTAGTATATATTCTATATAATTATAATTGAAATTATAAATTCAAATTGGAATTATAAGGGAAAACTGAAATTATAACGTAATGATATATCATTTCAATAATGTTGAAATTATGAGTCACAAGTCCAAATCGGAATTCAAGATTTGATTTTAATAATGTTGGAATTGTAAGTTAATGGGAATTATAAGAGTAAATTGCAAAAATCAAAAGATTTTTTTTTTTTTTTTTTTTTTTGCAAAAAATCAAAAGATTTTTTCTTTTTTTTTTTTTCTGAACAATTTTTTTTTTTTTTTTTTTTTTTGAACAATTGAGTAACTTGTAGCACATGGTATGGCTTAGTAATGGAGTATGACTTATAGTTTCTATTATCCAATTAAGTTGTGGAATTACTTTACTTTATATTTTATGGATTGGAATTATAAATTTAAATTGAAATTATAAAGTGAAATTGAAAAGTGTTGGAATTTGCAAGTTGGTTAGAATTATAAGAGTAAATTGTAAGAATTAAAATTGATATAATTAAAATTAACTAGAGGTTTCGACTTCAAATTTTAGGTATGAAGTCTTTTTGAATACTTGAGAGGGACGGTTGTAGGCTTCGAGTAGCGAACGGATAAAACACAAAAAAAAAAAAAAAAAATTTCGAAGTAGCGAAACGGAATTAAAACACAAAAAAAAAAAAAAAAAAAATTGAACAATAATTTCCTTTTTTTTTTTTTTTTTTTTTTTTTTTTTTAACAATTGAGTAACAATTACCATTTTATAAACAACACTTGGTCAATTTATCCAAATACACACCTTCCTTCGTACTAATTTTCTATTATTTTATCATATTAATGTTTTTTTTCAGTAAAAACATATGGTTCAAAAGCATTTTTTTTTTTTTTTTTTTTTTTTAACAATTGAGTAACAATTCCAATTTATAACACATGGGTCCAATTTATCCAAATAACACTTCTCGTTACTATTTTTCTATTATTTATCATATTATGTTTTAGTATAAACATATGTGTCAAAGCATTGCATTCATTAATTTCTTGCACGTTTTTTTAAATTTTTCTTCATGTATTGGGGTTTGTGGAAAATTTCATATTTTAATTTAGGAAATTATAGGTTTGTAATAGAAAAAGAAATTATAAAATTAAAATGGTTTACACTATTTTGTATTAATAGCATGGTTTTGAAAATCGGATCAGACTGATTGGTTTGATTGGTTTAATCGGAATCGGACTAAATTTTGTCCGAAATGAATTGTTATTTGAATAGGTCAAAAACCATAAAAATCAATTTAAACCAGATAAATCGATGAACTGGTTTTAAGTATTTGATACATTGGAATATAAATTAGTTTTAAAGAGAAAAAAAAAATGAAAGAAGAAGAATGTAGATTCTAGAGGATGACAATATAGTAGAATAAGAAGGAGGCCGAGGGAAAAGTATGCTGCAGAAGTTAGAGACCCGAAGGAAACTGGAGCTAGGATATAGCTGGAACTTATGAGACATCTGAGCATGCAGCTCTCACTTATGACCAAACTGCTTCTAAGATGCATGATTTTGAAATTAAGCTTAATCTTCCTCATCTAATTGGCTCTACACAGCAGCCAGTAAGAGTGAGCCCTAACAAGCAGCAATAGAAGGAAATGCGATCTTCATATTTTCAGGATGGATCGCCTAAATGGCAAAAAATGAAAAATTTAAGTACTCATTATTCTTTTCATAATTTTAGTTTTAGAGAAAGGAAATAGACCCAACTGTAGTGAGTTCGTATACTAGTGTTGTGGTTGCTTGAGGCTTTAGGAGTTCAAGAAGCTCCCTGCTGGTTAGAAGCAAATCATCATGCTGTTAATCTAATAATTGAAGGTGATAGTTTGATGGTTGATCATGCACTAATGAGTCCTTATGATGATTTTTCTTATCTTGAATTTATTATTCATGATAATAAAACTCTTTGTTTAGATTTTGCATCATTATTTTTTGCTTTTGTTGGAAGATCAACAAACCAGATTGCTCGTATGTTTGCTCGGTTAACTGGTTCTACGTCTGATTTGATGCAATAGTGATGCGGAGCAACTTGCACTTCAATATATGGATGATTTGAGTCGCTGCAAACCAAAGAAGAAGGGGCACGGCCGTGCCATATCCATCACGCCCGTGCCAGCCTCTAGAATTCCAGGACATGAGACAAGCCCAAGCCTAAGAAGCACAAGCACGCCAGCGTCACAGCCAACCTGCCAGTGACGATGAGCCCATTTACGTTTCGAGTGTCGGCACGCCCGTGCCGATGACGATGAGCCCATTTATGTTTCGAGTGTCGGCACGCCCGTGCCGCCGACCTTGCTAGGGTTTTGTCCAGTTACAACCTTTGTGTTATTTTTTTAGGTTTTTTTATATGACTAACCAAAACCTATAAATAGGTTATTTTGTATCTTTGACACATTCATAATTTTTTATCATTATTCCTATCAATAAACTTCTTTTAGAGTTTAGTTCTCTATTTGATTCATCGGATCAAACGTTATTGATCAAAACTCCTGACGGATTATAATCATTTATTCCCATTCACATAATCGTTCGGCGTCAGTTGGATTCAGAGCCGAAAGGCAAAAGTATCTCCTTGGCCGACAATCATGGGACACGACTCACCGCCCAAGGTTCGAAGAATTATCCGAATAGATTAGGCAATCGACTCTCGTTATTCAATAAGGCAACCCACAACCTGCAGCTGCAACAGCCGCTCCGAATCCACCGTAACCAAATTATGCAAGACGCCAAAATCGTTATGATGGAGGCCGAGATTACAGAGGCAATGGTGACAATTTTCATGAAGGATACAAGATAAAAGTAGACCTTCAACCCTTCTCGGGATCGTTAGAAATAGAAAGCACTCTTGACTGGCTAGCAGAGGTCGAATAATTCTTTGAGATCATGAATGTTGAGGAGGAACGTAAAGTTTCCATTGTGGCCTATAAGCTGAAAGGCAGTGCAGCAGCATGGTGGCATTCCATTCAAAACGAACGCCACCATCGAAGGATTGAACCTAGCGAGACTGGATTTGAATGAAACAGTTAATTGAGCAATGTTTTCTTCCTAGTGATCACTCTCAAATACTATACAACAGGTACCACGACTGTTTCCAGGGAAACCGAAAGGTTGATGAGTACACGAAAGAGTTCTTGAGATTGCAGCATGATACAATTGTGAAACTGATTCCCAGCAAGTGGCTCATTATTAGAGGGGATTGAATCATGATATAATGTGTATGATGGGTGTAGCTGTGATTTTCACTTTGGCAGATGCAATTGAGATGGCGAAACGTGCGGAAGATAGGATTAATTGGCAGCCTCGACAGCCGCCTAATCGAAACCAGAATTTCAGGCAACCCTATTCATCCGAAAATCAACAGTTCAGTAGAAATTCCGGTGGACAGAAATCAAGAGAAGCCACTCCTGCCAATAACCAAAGCTCACAGCAGCTCACAGTAGAAGAAAAGAAAGACCCTTGGGGAAAGGCTCCCATGACAGACAGAAACAACAAACTGAATCCGTATCAGAAGCCAACCGGAGAGTATTGTTACCGTTGTAGAAAACAGGGGCATACATCTAATATATGTCCAGAACGTAGGGGGCTAATAATGGACGTCGACAGGTGAATGTAGTTAATGAATTGACTGAGGTTGAAGAGATAGAAGATGAAGATGATGGATCCATGGCTGGTTCTGAAAATGGAGAAGTTACATATGTTGTTCAGAAAATTTTGTGTTCTCCAAAGTAGGAAAGCGACACTCAAGGAAGGAAAATTTTCCAAGCTAAATGTCAGGTTGATGAAGCGGTGTGTCGACTCATTATTGATAGTTGCAGCAAAGCAAAACCGGAGAGGTAAAAATTGTTTTTAACCGTTGTAGAAAAACAGGGCCATACATCTAATATATGTTCCCAGAACGTAGGGGGCTAAAATAAATGGACGTCCCGACAAGGTTTGATAAGTATTAATGACATTGACTGAGGTTTGAAAGAGAAATAGAAAATGAAGAATGAATGGATTTCCATGGCTTGGGTTCTTGAAAATTGGAAGAAGTTTTTAAAATATGTTGTTAGAAAAAATTTTTGTTTCCTCCAAAGTAGGAAAGCGAACACTCCAAGGAAAGGAAATTTTTTCCAAGCTAAAATGTTTAAGGTTATGAAAAGCCCGGTGTGGGTCGACTCAAATTATTGATTAGTTTGCCAGTTGGGGTTGGAAAAATTTGATAGTTCCCAAGCAGCTAGTTGAAAAAAGCTTTAAATTTACCCACAGAACCACAATCCTTCACCGTACAAGGTAGGATGGATTTAAAGAGGGTTCCCCAACGATGAAGTAAACTGGATTTGCAAGGTTTTTCCCCTATATCAACCGGGAAAAAAGGTCATACTCAAGAACTCCGTTTAAGCCGTTGTGGAATTTTTGTG